CTTCCCATGCGCCCCGAAACCGCGGGCCTCGGGTGCCGGCATGTGGCCGGCTCCCGACGGCGCCTGCATCCTGCGGCGCTGCAGTGCGAGCCGGGCGGGGACTTCCCCCGCGCAGCGGGACGTGGATGTCGTCCAAGAGGCAACTTTGTTCCTCTTCTTGTGGTGGGGAGGAGGAGGAGGAAATAAATCCGAGTTTCTGGAAGGCCTCTTTGTGCGGTGACATCAAGGGCAGGATGGATGGATGCCCGTGGCTCTCATTAGCATGATTAAGAAGGGGGCTGAAGGCTGGATGTGCTGCCTCCCACTTCCATCACGTCCTGGGCAGGGAGGGGAGCAGCCATGGCTCTGAGTCCTGACCTTTCAAGGTCGTTTAGACTGCAAGCGGGGCAAATGGATGATTTAAGAAAGAGAGATAATGTTGTAAAGGGAGAGCTGGGGAGTTAAATATAGAACCAGGCCACCTCACTGGAACTTCAGGAGAGCTGCTGCAGGGACACATTTAGTGGTTTTTTAAGCATTTTATACAACTTTCCATCCACTGTTTCCTCTAATTCCTTGCATATTTTCAACACAAATCCTATCTCTTATGAGGAAACGGTAAAGGACATCTTAGTGACACCTGTTGGATTTGCAGAGCACAAACATTTCTCAACATTTTACCATGGTAACCAGTGTTTTCACTCATGCTCAGGACTGGGTCTTGGTTTATAAAAACTGCGGTCCAAAATAAATCTTGTTTGGTGTTTTTAGGTTACACAAGTTAAAATCGCCTTTGTACTTTTTAATAACTGAAAATGAAACCTTGGTAGTCTAACGTGTGAAGTAGATGTTGAGTTTTAAAATACGTCTTCCTCATATCTACAGGAGCTAAACTTCTTGGGCAGCTCTACACATGCAAATGCTCCAGGATGTGTTTACTCTAGAGTAATTTACTGAGTAATTTAATTTAGAGTAAACCCACCCGGGGCAGATGTCTACATGTGCCGGGAAGCGGGAACAGATTTGCTGCTCGTGGCAGCAGTGTGCTCCTGCCCCTGCCGGCCCTGTACTGGCCCCCTGCAGCAGCCAAGGGGAGCTCTAGGCTCCCCCAGGGGCTGGCAGGGAGCACAGGACCAGGAGACAGGTGTCTCCTGGCAGGGCCTGGGAGATTGCTTCCTGCCCCCAGGAGCTCCCTACTGCTGGGGCAGGCTCCACCACTGGAGCCCGGGCAGGGACAGGGCCCCTCTGCCCTGGCAGCAGGGAGCTCCCAGGCCTCGCTCTGCGATTGCAGGGCCAGGGCTGAGAGTAAGAATCTCCCCAGTCTGCAGTTATGGAGCAGGGGCTGGGAGCTCCCTGTTGTCGGGGTAGGGGGACATTGTCTGCACCAGCTCCTGGGGGCAGTGATCAATTTCCCGCTTTTGCTGCCTAGCTGACCTGGAGCATATTTGCTCCCAGTCGGCTGTCTACACGTGCCATGTGGCGCGGTAAGTAATTGTAAGTAAATTTGTTACTTGTATTTACAGGTAGCAAATTTACTTTCGATTAGAGCAAATTACTGCACAGTAAGCATCTGCATATGTAGACCAAGGGTGGGCAATTATTTAGGCTAGAGGGCCCCTTAACAAGTTGCAGAGAGCCGCATGGGTAGTAGCCTTGCCCCTGGACAGGAGTCCTGCCCCCTAACTCCTGACCCTTGCCCCCAGAAATATTTGTTTTGGAAGGGAGGGCTGCCATCTTGGAACCAGAAAAAAAACAAATCGTACACTAAAAATCAAACACCACCTATAACAAGTTTTAATTTTATTACAAAAAATATTTCTCATGATTTGTGTTTGCATAATAACTCAAAAATAAAGTTGTGTGTGAGGTGTGGTTGGGGTGGGGGGTTTGTGAGAGGTTGTGGCTGTGTGTGTAGGGGCATAGATATGTTGAGGAGTGTATATGTGTGAGGTTGTGGGGGCAGAGTGTGGTTGTGTGAGGGAGGGTGGGGGGTGTGGGGGTCTGCCACACACTCCCCCAAATGATGCTCATCCTCCACAGCCAACAGGAGCAGCAGGCAGAAGTGCTCAGGGTGCTGGGGCCCACGAAGGTGCTGGTGCACGGCTCTGGACAGTGCTGTGAGTGGGAGCGAGGAGCGTAGCCTCCCCTGCCTGCCTGTATCGCGGGAGCTTCGACTGATGCGCACACAGCTCCCGCACTCGTGTGGCACCAGGGAAGCCCCGCGCTGGAGCTGGCTGCCTTCTCTGACCCTTGCTGTGCAGGTCCCATGACTCCGCAGGGAAGTAGGGGTGGCAAGGAAACCTGGGGAGGCAAGGAAGCCAGCTCCAGTGCGGGGCCAGATAGAGGCAAGCTGGGCAAGGTGTCCTCGTTCCTGCGCACAGCACTGTCCAGAGTCGGGTGCCAGCACCTGCACCAGGCACAAGCACCCTGAGCGCACCCACCTGCTGCTGCTGCCAGCAGCAGGGGCTGCACGCCATGTGGGGGAGTGCGTGTGGGGTCCCCCCGCCACTCTAATCTCCCTCACCCACACTGCTCAGCTGAGCTCCATGGCCCCCTTGGGTGAGGGCTCTGTGCTGCTGCCAGCCCTAGCCTGATGCTCCCTGCCTCTGCCCAGCTGCAGCTCCTCCCGCCCCTGCCCCGCCGCTTCCCTACCTGCTGCCTGGAGTCGGTGGGATGCCAGGCATGGCAAGCAGGTCCCCCCATGGCAGCGGCAGCAGCATCCCTGCCCTGAAGTGGCTGCTGGCTGGGCCGAGCTCTTCCACCCATGAGACTGGGAATGGCGCAATATGGTATGTTGGAGGGGTGTATATGTGGGTGCCTTGCTCTCACCCTCTTGGGAGGAAGGACTAGGCATGATACAATTCACTGGTGGGTGCCTGCAGGCCGGATGGAAGTGCCTGGTGGGCCGGATTCAGCCTGCAGTCCATATTATGCCCGCCCCGGTGTAGACAGTGACACTTACTGCACAGTAATTTATCTCAGGCAAAGTGTCTTGTGTAGAGATGCTCCTTGAGAGGTTTTTTGGAACTATGTAATACATTTATATTAATACACGTTCACGGGATACATCATAGCATCTCCCTGGAATGGATAGGACTTATTAACAGAGCCTTTAAGAAGTTTGTAGTGAGTGATTTAATTTAAATGAAAGGTGTATGTGATTGTTGGTTGTCAAGTGTTAATTGTAGTATACATGCCAGTATACTATTTTTGGTGTCCCAGCTATTGAATGGGAGAATAAATCCGATACTTTAATAATTCTAATATAATAAAGGGCTTAATCCGTCTGTCTGTCTGTCCATAACGCTTTTGGGCAAGTGCACATGTGCGGTTTTAAACTTGGCACATTTCTGTGTCTCAACAGGGAAACAAAAAATGGTGCCAAGTTTAAAACCGTGGCTTTTGCAGTTGCTTCTCTGCAGCCAGGAGGGACCTCTCCCCCAATGGGGCTGGGTGGGCAGGCTGGGGGCGGGGCGGGCGGGGGGGGGGGGAGTTGATGGGCCAGGAGCATGGCAGGCAGTGGCGCTGGTGGGGGGCAGAGGAACAGCCCCCAACATTCACTTTACCCCCTGGAGCTGCCCCTCCCAGTACTGCCACCTGCACGAGAGGGGGCACAGGGCTCCGGGCCTGAGCCAGCCAGGCATGCGCACGTGTGCAGCCTCAGGGGCAGCTCCCTTCCATCTCGCCCCTGTTCCTGGGAGGCAGTGGTGGTGCGGAGTGGTGGGTGGTGGTGCTCCACCCTGCCTGTCTCTTCCCCTGCATCATTCTTGACAGACAATTGGCTAGTTATCAATAATAATTCTATTAATTGATCATTTTTTTTATTAAACAGTAAGAGAATTGGTTGTCAATGGGATGGACTGTATTATGCACAGCATCCCAGCTATGGCAGGTGCAGCTTATAGGAAAAGGAGAAGAGGGTTTGTAAGCCACCATTTTACCCTGAGTCTCTGGGTCTGGCAAGATATGGCTTAGCCATTGGCATAAAGTACAACAGCTGCAAAGGTCCTGTATTTTATGCTGGCTGCCAAGTGACTGCTAAGGCCCTTTCTCATAATCGTTGGCTGCTGGTAAAGAAGGGCATCTCATAGTCTGGGTGCACAAGAGCAGCAACTACAGCAGTCGGAAATTTCCTGCATAGGGGGAATTCTACACTGGTTAGGATGGATAGGTTTGTGGCTGCTTTGAGCAGCCAACTAATGTGGCCACAGACTGGGTGAAAATTGGGACTGAGCTTTAAAATTTCAGAGAAATGTAACCACAACATAGAATTTTCCAGTAACTTCAAGAAACTGATATTGTGGAAGATAGTCTGAGTAAGACAGGAGAGCATGTGAATTGCTTATGCAGGTACACAGTAGACGGTCCTGATTTTTTTTACTTGGAAACTGTTGGTTGAATTCATGTACCATTGGCCTTGGGTATGCTGAGGTGCGTGAATTTTCTTTCAATGGGTATTGTCTTTCTTTTTTTTTTTTTGTCACGAAGAAGAAGTGAGTTATTTTGTAAATTTTAAAAAATAAATGTATGGAACCCTTCCATCCTATGGAATCCAATCCAATAAAAACAACATAATCACATGATCTTACTGCTTGTCTTAAACAGGC